AATCTCGAAAGGAATTGCCAACACTTTCCCCATGAGCTCTTGAGTCAGGCCCTTTAACCCTCCCCCACCTTCCTGCAAATTCGCTTACAAACTTGGCTAGCCAACCAGCCATACAGTATCATTGACACACGCATTAAATCACCTTGCAGGTCCAATTTGGAACCCTATCAACCTACTTCAACCTCGTGAAGCAGCGCAAGCCGATCACCAGCTTCCCCTCCCTGATCGGCGATTTCTTTACCTACGCGGACCGTAGCGAGGACTACTGGAGTGGTTATTACACCTCAAGACCCACGCACAAAGCCTTCTCCCGGATCGTTGAGGCTGAATTGAGGTGCGTTTTAAACTATTCCCACGGTCATTACCTTATCATGAGGTTCCCCTGATGCATGATGCCAAACCTCCCCTAACAATTAAGTGAGCCTACTAGTCATTCTGGTGGATTCTAAATGCTTGCTTCGGAAGTCCTGTCTGGGCAGTCAGCTTGCTGTCCTGTAGTGGTGGATTTCATACGTGCAGTAGGCTGTCCGTGTAAAATCGACCCAAGTGTGATTAACTTCACAGTAAGCCTCATAGCTCAATTATAGAACGTTGGCCGCACAAAGCCTTCCTTGCTGTGTTGGGTCGACCCCCATAGAGGCCGCGAATTTTTCACAATTAGGTCAACCGAGTTAGGAAATCCTGTTTAGGTATTCAACTGACTGTATCGGAAATGGTGAATTATAAACGTCACAATAGTCTGGGTGGGTAACTTGACTCACGGCTCCCTCTGGCTAGAGCGTTTGTTGTATGAAATCTTTTCACAACTGGGCCAAATGAATTATTGGAGCCTGCCAAAACCCCCTTTCAATAATAAATTGTTAATATGGGATGTCAGTCCGTCATTGATCGAATAACATTACGGTGTCTACTGCTATGATAACCGAGTACGTGTGCGGGGATAACGCCATCTGCGGCCTTCAAGCGCACAGGACCAAATTCTCTGTGTTCGGCCTGTGTTTTTCTCGTTTATTTCCGCTGCGTGCTGCGGCTAATTGCAACAATTTTGCTGATCAGTTGTTCCTATCCAAATATTCGCGATGATTTACGGCGAGAAAACTGTTTCTACTTTCTTCCCCATATAATAGTTTACCCCGTGCGCCATAAAGTATGTATCGTTAGCCTGCAACTGAGCATTGTCTATTTCAGGTCTGCTGAAATCCTCTTCTCTCTGGCACGGCATTGGCAGCCAAACTTGGCATCTGAACTTAACTCGGAGACATGTCGGTCTCTGTACGACAAGATCTCGTCGGCCAGACGAAGCCTAGCCCTCTTTCAGCATCACGACGCTATCACGGGAACAGCTAGGCGACATGTCATGACCGACTACAGGCGCGGGTAAGTACAGCCCAGTAGTATTGGCCGTAATGCTAGGTTGTGGAAGCTGCCTGGTTTTAATACGTATACAATTAACTACTATATACATTTTAGTAGACGTAGTTTGTTTAATTATTTAACAGTCATGTTTCACTGAGGCGCTACTCAGCAAGCAGTGGTCTAAACAGACAAGGCCCGTCCCTAGCCCTGTCTGTGGTTTTAATGTCCGTCTAGACGCAAAGTGTGGGGGTGCCTGCGACCAATCGAAAGCTCAAAACCAACTGCTCCAATGATCGCACCTACGTTTTCTTTCCAATACCACCATTCACTTTTGCAGAAGTGCATAAATAAATGTAAGTGTTATGCCATGTTCCCACTAGGTCCAGTTTCATAGCAAAGATTTTAAGTGCATACATGGTTGCACGGTGATCGCACAGGTTGATGACATAGGTATCGGCAGTTATTTGTCCACTTGTGCTGACGGGATCGACCTAGAGCTCCGTAGGCAATCGTATAACAATTAGTGATGTATGCTGAGAACGAACCCATGGCTCAGTGGGTTAGGGCCTTGGGCTTCTATCCAACAGGACACGATTCAAGCCTCAGGGATTTCAACACCTGGGACTGGGTATGACTGACTGATGGTGGCCAATAAACAAAAAACTGAAATTCCTGTATCCCTTGTCTTCGTTGCCCCCGCTATCCTGACTAGGAAGTTCAACATTCATTATGTTGTTTATGCATATATTATTGCTACCTTATTTGTTTGAGTAGCGTGTAATGCTTCACAACATATTCTCCGGCACGCGGTGAGTGTGGCGCTCAAATGATGCGTTTTTGGTGTTCAGGGACCCCATCGTTCTCTTTCTGTTGTCAGCAGTCTGAAACTGTACACTTTAGGCTCTCTTCGGCTATGGACAATTCGCGCTATGTCGCCGGAGCTTCCCTCGCCCTGCTTCTCGGAGCCGGACAGCAGGATGTCGAAAATGCTGTTCACAATCAAGTTCTACATTGGGGCAGTGTCCTGCTTCATTCCGCAGGCTGGGATTGGTCCATTCCAGGGGCCCCTGCCTGCCCAATCATCATCTTTACGAGCCTGGAGCAAGTGCGGTTAGTTTTATCGTCCACCTTGTCATTCCAGTCTCTCTTTTCTTTCACGAATAGAAGCAAATATGCGTGCCACAGGCTCTTGTTGTAAAGAAAAAGAAGACGCGATCTCTGGAACGGCAGTCTTGTTCTTCTGAACTTTCCACTTCACACGAGAAGCCATCGTCAGAGAAAGTGAGAAAACAGCAAGCGTTGGCTACGCATAAATGGGGGTGGAAGGGGGTTGGCACTCGTGATTGGTCGATGCCCACTCCACGTTTATGCTCACGTCATCTTATCGTGTGTTCCTTGCGCGCGTCCGTGGAGTTATAGCGTATGACCTTGACGGGCAGTGCGGAGAGGCCACCCACTCTCCCAGATCGCTACCCACACTTTGGAAGAAGGTCACGAATTCGATTTCTCGAGCATAAGGATACTGGCATGAGCCAGCAATAAGACGGAGCGCGAACTGCTGGAGGCCTGGGAGGCTTATAGGGAGAAACTTTTTTTAAACTTACACAATTGGCTAAGTTTCAGTTTATTTAGTTTATTTGGTCAGGATAATAGGCAAAGACCTTTGAAAAGCCTATTGATTACATGCCGGTGCGTCATATACGTCTGTACACACAAGCGTAAACGTCGTCACTATTAAAATAGTATTGACAAACAATGAGTAGCATTGTCTTTACAAATAACTCTGAAGTTTGTGTGGCGTTAGTTCAAGTCATATTGTCGAGGGACAACAGGGGACACATGTAATTATCTAGGCGTTGTATGAACAGCTGTAGGGACGCGGCCTCCAAGACTGACTGCGGCTGGTTATTCCACTGTTCTACGGCCCGTTATGTGAAGAATTAATAGAGGAGATTAAGCTTGGACATCTTCGTGTGCGGCTT